TAATACTCCTGACTGTGGTGGATTGGATTATGCCGCACAACGTTCATGATGAATGAGAAGGCAGGGGTGCATTGGACTGATAAGAAGAATCTAAAAGATGTGAACTTCGAAAACGATTAATGTCTGATGCCGCATAAATTCGAAGACGTACAGACGAAAACCAACAAACTGGCGGAAGAAGCAGAAAAGACAGGACTTCAAGTGGACATAGAGAAGATGGAGGTAATGAAGATAACCAACAACAACAACAAGCACCAATCAATATCAACGGAATGAATTTGAAAGAGGTCACTTCCTTCACTTATCTAGACACGATCGTTTCAACTACAGGCAGCAGCACGGATGAAGATGTCAAAACCAGAATCAGAAAGGCAAGAAAGACCTTCATCAATCTGGAAATCAGTTTGGAAATCTTCTGCACTCAGTCAGCATAAACAACAAAATTCTAATTCCCAACACCGATGTCATAGTCAGTCAGTTCTCCTACATGTGTCACGAAAAGCAATCCCAACAGCCTGCTGCAGATGTTCATCAACAGGTGCCCATTTCGTTGGCTCCATACGCAAGATTATGTAGGTGGCCAGAAGGAATTAGCAACAAGAAACTCTGACACACGATAAACTAATCAAGAACCTATTGCTCAAGAAATATCCCGAAGAAAATGCAGATGGATCACATACACGTTCAGGAGCTCGTCGAGTGAAATCGCGCACTAGGCGAGCCCTCGAATGAAATCCGAGTTAGAAACGACGAATTTCGCGTATGTAAGAGGGTGAGATGGAGGAGATGAAAACTTAAGCGCCATCGTGGGGATAGCTGAAGAAGGCCGCAGTGAATAGGACAAAGTGGAGTTCTGTTGAAGCCTTATATTTCATTAGGAACCCAAAGGAATAATAATAATCACAAAAAAAAGAAGTCTGATGGAACACTGAACAAATCACTACATAGAAAGCCTACTTGAAACGACCAGTTGATAAAATTTTACAGTTGGAAAGCGATAAATCTCAAGTGAGACCTGATAATATCATTTTGCAACTATGATCTGAAGAATGTGCAGCCTTGAGTCTGTAGATAAAGACATCAGTTTTGGGGAAGACACTGACTGGAAATGACTACCCCCATCAAGCTTCAGAGATAAACACATAAACCCAAAAGCAACAAAGAAAACCCAATCTGTATGCCGAATAAGATACTATGCATGAATGTGGCATGCAGAGGCGGCCTTCTAGATGATATCTAAAGAAGGAAATATCAAACGCCCTGAAAAGGACATTCTTTGCTTCTACATTAGAACTACCACCAAATTTTCTCCAATAACTCTTAAGTTAAACTATCGCATTTAACCACTTATGTGCGTGTCTATCAATTCACTTACTTCTGTGGAACCAGATATGTAGGTCATTCAATGCGTATTTTATCTGAATGAGTCAAGAAGCAATATCCCACTTGGGGAATCCATTCAAAGTGATCAACAAAGTCAAAGGGAAACTCCCGAAAACGGTAAGTTCCAGTATACTTTGCATTACTGAGGTCTTAACGATTCGGATGGAAAAACCTGATTAATGTACACAGAAAAAACGTCTTCATCCCCTACTTTTATCTACAATATAGTTCCAAGCTAAACTGTTATCACCGATATTTTGTTATAAATACTATTTCTTTTGCCTGTTTTCGTATGAAATTTAGTTTTTTCATTTTCTTAACTAAACTTTACTTTTGATACTTGTCACCATGATCTCTTTCATTAAAATCCATCTTTTTTCTGACCGCCATTCAGCTTACGAAACACAGTAGTTTAAACTTACTAATCTTCAGACCCCCTCCGCCCCCTCCCCACCTAGTCACAATTTGATTATTCATCATTCTTATGTAATATTTCGATCACTTAAACAATACTCCAAGCTAGTTTGTGCTATTTTTGACACACTGGATGTACATACCCACATACAAACCAACTTGTAGATAGCTGCGATTGTACAACTTAGTGAGTGAATTCCCCAGAAAAGTGTCTCCTCTTTGCTGAACTGTTTGTTCTTATCTGCATGATAAATCTATTGGCTGTTCTTATTTCAGTGATATAATAATTATCATGAAAATCAATAAAAAATTTACTGAATATAACCAAAGATGCAATATTTCCTCTCTCATAATTATCAGATGAAATTCAAGTATTGATTTTTAGGGATATTTGATTGATTGGTGACAGGATTTCATCATGAGCTGACTGATGAAGAGCCCCAAACTAGGACGAAACAACTGTCCAGTACTCCCTCACTGGTTTTCCAATGGTTCTCTAACCAATGTCAGCTCATGATGAAATCCTGTAGTAAAGTAGAATATAGAATACTATATTACATAAATTTATCTGATAAGTGGATGACATTTCGAGAAGAATTCAAACTTCTCAGAACTTTATCAAGTTATTCACACAACCTTCTGTGTATTGTTCTAATTCGCCTTGCACCTTTTTAACGAAAGTTTTCATATATACAATGATTTGGTATTGCGTCATGTCTAGGACAAGTGATAAATGTCAGTTTTGGTGAATAAAGATAGAGTGATTGGCTGCTCTCTGCACCTAAATGTACTGCAAGCGCTTACATGTAATCATACCAAAGGATAAAGGAGGATAATAGTAATGCGGTAAGGTGGAGAGGAGAGAGTAGCTAATCAATAAAGCCTATTTCCTTAGTGAAGCCTTAGGTACGAAGTATATTTCAAATAACTGATAATGATAAACACTATTCGCCATTTTCAGACAGTTGAATATTTTAGTAATAAGCCGTCAGATATAAATGTAAGACAACAAAAACAAACTTTTGACTTATTGAAAAAAAATTTCCTTCAAGAGTTAGTTTGTAGAGATTTGACTTGTTTCAAGTTAGATTATGGATTGATATCAGTCAGATAACCATTGAAAATCTGTAAATAAGTACTGGACAGCTGTTTCGTCCTAATAAAGGACTCATTGGCAGTGCGCAACAATCTTCTGGTTACAAGGTACGCTCATAGAGCATTCAGTGGTTTCACTAAAATCACGAATTGGTAGGAGTTGGAACTCATGAGCTAGCCATTGAATCGGGCCCCGGTAACTTAATGCTCCAAGAGCTTTCTTTATAATCGAACAGTTCTGGGTTCGAACTCCAGTGGATGGGTACTGATGAAGAGTTCCAGATGAGGACAAAACAGCTATCCAGTAGTCCTTGGTCTTCAACAATTCTGTAACTGATATCAGTTCGTGATCAAACCTGAAATGTGGTTCACTTCACCAATGGATAGAATACGGCCAAGTTAAACTTTAAGCACCACTAGCTACCAATGGAGTGCGACCGCGCCAATGACCTTGAAACACCCATTGAGAAAGCTAGTGAGACCTGGCAAATAATGTTGTCTTCATCAATAAAATATGCTCGTCGAAGTGTTATGCTATTAAATGGGATACCTGGCAAGTTTCAGCTCAGGTTTTTTGGGAAAGATTAAGTTACGCTTTAATCAAAGGACAAGCTAGGGTTCGGTTAACCTAATAAAGGCGACATCAGGGTTGGTTCGAGTTAGATTACAGTTAGTTTAGGGATACTTTTACGTTAGGGTTAGATTCAGGAAAGATTAGGGTTATTGTTATGGTTAGAAGACTCAAATAGTTACATGCATAGAATGTGGTTAAATTTCTCTGTTGATATAAGAATAGAGCTTGTGCACTATGGTAGAATATAATTCCATTGTGGGTAAAATTTATTTTGATAAAGTCTCACAGCGTAATATTTACTGATGACGTTTCGAGCACATTTTATTGCTCAGTACATATTACTGTAATACACTATGAGACTTTATCAAAATAAATTTTACCCACAATGGAATTATATTCTGTTGACACTCCAACCTAAAACTGAGTGCCACTTTTATCACATGTGAGGGAAAAGTATCCTCCGTAACACTTTGACACAGTTTTTATGCATTTTTTTCATAAATATATGTGTTCCATACACAAAACCTCCTCCTTCACGTGACTGGTGCATTTGAGGTCATCCTCTGATTGGTATTCGGTGATGCTTAAATTTTAACTTTGCCTAGAATACATATCAGTGAACTTCTCAGTAGTGGACAACTATGAACTCTCAAGGAGTCGAAACTGAAACACTCAAATTTTTAGATGAATTAAAGGGCATTGAATATCCAAAGACAGTTATTGTATTTCGAGCTTGTTATTCAATACTGTTGGGTCCGCCTAAAAACTGAAGCTCTTTGTTTCAGTCTCTTATATGGTCATGATTGGGGACATAAATGGAAAATCACATTTCCAGTTACAACAGCCACTCAGCTGCCTTCAAATTCCAACTTTCATCTAGCTGGTTTTATTTAGCGGGGAAATAAAAACTCGCAAAAAGAAACAACATATATTCTGGGATGTTTTTTCTCCTTTACTTGAGTTCTGAGTGGAACATAGGGCTTCAAGCTTTGAGCCTCGAAGTTTCGGTAGCAGTAGTTTTATTTTATAGAGTGGGCTGCTAGTCCCACCCAGCCCAACCTTCCCTCCTTACCGGCCTAGCAAGGCTTAGGAGTCCGTCGGCCAGGAGTCACACCCTGGACTACATGCATGTGGTCGGCGAGTATTCTACCGTTGAACAACCAACGCACGAAGTCCCAGTAGCAGAGGTGTTATTTTGAAGAGGTTGGAGTTGCTAGTCTCATACCCAACCTTTCCCGGTGGTAAATTAGCCAAGATTTAGGCAGAGAAATCAAATCTGAACCTCCAGCATGGTTGCATCGAACTGCTCGAGAAGAGGGCACTGGAATAGTTATGTCACAGAATGATACTCTATACAGTTCAGGTTTTACAAAAGGGAGGAATGACTGTATTCCGTTCTCCTGAAAACAAACGCATAAATACCCATTCAATGGGTACATAATATTTAATAAAAAATAGCAATGTTATGGCATAAAATAACATAAATAAGTTAAAGCCATAGAAAAGATGGACAGATAAGAAGAAAATTACTCACCTCTTTATACACTTCTTCAGGTGACAGTAACACATTCAGACAATTGCTAACATGATGATCACAACAGGCGATAGGTATACTTTCACGATAGTCTTCGTAACCGTTAACACCACAGCAACGTAACTATTTAGAAGTGAAAAAAATAAGAGGTTAGAGAAATTAAAGCAATTAAAAAAGGTGACATAAAAACTTGAATTCTTTACAGGATTTCATCATGAGCTGACATCGGTTAGAGAACCATTGGAAAACCAGCGGGGAGTACTGGACAGTTGTTTCATTCTAGTTTAGGGCTCTTCAGCAGTACATACTCAGGGTTCGAACCCAAGACCTTTTGGTGAAAAGGCGATCACATGGACCATTTAGACACTGGGGCCTGATTCAATTGCCAGTCCGTGAATTAGAACTTCTATCAGTTCACGATACGGCGCGACTGGTACCAGCCAATGTCAGCGGCAAGTATTTGTCCTCACACCCAACCTGCTGTACCCCACTGGTTACAGGGTCTCAGTGCTGGAGAGCCTCAAACTAGAACAAAACAGCTGTCCAGTATTTCCAGGTCTTCCAATGGTTCTCTCTAACCGATGACGTCCTGTAAACAATCAGAAATCCCTGGAAACCAACACTTGAATATTGATGTTATTGATGATAAAAGCCTTTAAGTTATGTAAATATTCTTATCACCATTTTGAATGCGAACTGAAAGCCAACTATCATTATTTTTATATGCATTCAGTTTCTATTGAAAATAATGACAAAGAATACTGTGTACCTTAAAAAAAATTTATCCACTTGAGACAATTCAATATCCGACATCTTGAGTGTGTCTAGAAAGTAATCAGCAAATTCAAAAGAAATCTTTTCTTTAAAGCATGAATTAACTCTCTTATTAATAAGTAAGTTAAGTGTAAACAAAGCTGCATAAAAAGAGAAGTGAATAATTGAAAATTTGAGTGAATTTTTGCGAAATAAAAGAGAATTTTAGTTTTTTTATTTAATTTCATACTCTTTGGTTTTGACTGAAAAATAAGGTTTCAAGAGCAAATCTCCATTTCACGCTGTTCTATATAGACATTTTTAGCCCAACTCGTCGTTTTCCCATCATGTTCCACTCTAGAGCATGGCGCGTGATGTCATCTAACGGTCCCCTCAGTGTGTGTCTGATCCATCTCCATTTCCTTCCGCGTATTTGTTCGCTGATAGGTTCTTCGTTAGTTAGTTAGTTAGTTGCCATAGTTCCTCATTGCTAATCCTTTCTGGCCAACTGGCCATCTGATCTTCAGTATGGAGCCAGCAAAGTGGGCATTTTTGTTTTGACAAAAGTCTACTGTCAGCTATTGGAAATGCTTTGCGTGAGGTAACAGGTCTTCGAAGCATACAGAAGAACTGACTAACTTGACATTAGTGTTGAAAATCCGACTCTTGTTCTCTATGCCTACTGCAGTAGATTTACAGACTGATTTCAGGTTGATGAAGGTCTGCCTTGCTTTTCCAAATCGTCTTGTCAGTCGAACATATGCCAGTCACCTAGCTCCCCATGGTCTGCCGCACGACCAAGTCCACTGCATTCAGGAATATCATCGGTGGTAGTAAACAGGCTTAACTTACTCCTGTCCTCACTTGAAACGTTTCTGTGAGTTTTCTGTTGGGAATTATTTCTGTCTGTCTGTTTTCAACATAGAACTTTGCACAGATGTGCAGCAGTTCAAGTCGCCACACTCCATGTAGCACACAAAGCAAGAGAACAAAGTAGAAGAAATGCAAAATAGAGACAGTAGACAGGGATATGAGACAAAAGAAATGGTAATATGGAAGAATAATATAGTTTCATTGGGAATTATAAGTCACAAGGAGTGGATGCATCTGCGCCAGCCATTGAGAACGATTTTGAGCCATATCACCAATTGTCTCCAGCGTTCATTGGTTTTTACCGTCCCGAGGACCCCAACCAGGAAGTCTACACCTTCCTACATGGCTTAAACTAACTGTTGTGGATTTCATTTACTGGTGCCATGTTTTGGTTTGACCGCCATGTGGCATGTGGAACTATCATAAAGCTGTTGACTGTGGTGTAGTGTTGAAGCAGTTTACAAATGACTTCGTAGTCGACGCTGTTGAAAGCCTTTTCAAAGTCTGTGAAGTTGATAAACGGGTTTAACTGCCATCTTATACTCTACCCGAACGACTTGGCATATTGACGGTTAATGATGATAAACCAATTTACAAAGCAAAAATCGAAGTTAAACAATTTATCATTTTGATAAACATTTGAATTTTTTTCAAATAATTATATTATTGTGAATATTATTCTGAAATCAAGTTTTAGTTCTCTCTCTCGCTCCACCATCTTATATTATTCAATAAAATATTACGAAAATGCATCAATACTAAACAAAAATAGCGTAGACTAACTTACCATACGTTGAATTGAATCCATAAACGGTATAGGATTCTCACGTTGATCACGTAACATTGAATACTCTTCAATACCCTCTCTCATACGATCATCTACATATTTCATAATCTGTATATTAGAAACAAATGGTAAGAAGAAAAAAATGTTCCGTTTTTAGAATAATGATTATTCCTTTAAACTAGTGAGAATTTTTTAATTGAATTTTAGATTTTCCCATCAATTGATTGGACCGAAGTGCTCGGTCTCAGGTTGACATGTCGGCTTCTTGTGCAGATGCTTCGACGATGTCTGGGCATGTAATCACAAGTTAATTGGTGGATGGTGACTAGCAGTGAAATCCAGGATGCGCATTTCAAATTCAATTAAATAATTAATACGATCAGTTGCACAAGAGGTGGCTCTCGTGGCCCAAGTGGTCTGGTGGATAACGCTTTGGCCTTTGAAACTATGGGCACTGGGTTCGAGCCTCGGTGGGGAGTGCAGGTACATCCAGATGACGAGTCTCAAATAGAACGAAATGCGCGTTATCCTGGATTCCACTGCTAGTCACCATCCACCAATTAACCAGTGAGGAGAATGACTACAGTTTTTTCTTATCAAAAAATACGAATAACATTCAAACATATCTTAGTTCCATGAAGATTCTACTTGTTTCATGGAAAGACTTTGTTAAGATCTGAGTATCATTGAAAGTTGAAATGTACTGAATAGTTGTTTCATTTTACTAAATTTGATTTTCGTGCATAGGTGCTTCAGTGGGAGAATGCTCGCCAGCCATGTGCATGGTCTGGGGTTCGATTTCCAGCCGACTTATCCCTAAACCGCACTTAATTTATTAACCTGGAGTAAGTACGGAAAAGAAGGAAGGTTGGACGTGAGGTTAGCAATCACACTAGATGAAAACATCACGCCTATTGACTCTTCAAAGCTCCAAGCCTACAGCCCGATGTTCCATTTAGAAATCAAGGAGCGAAAGTATAAAAACGATCGAATTTTCGCCAACCTAAGAGATGAATATGAAGAGACTAGGTATGATAATATACGTATGAAAGTTTTAAAAAAGGATGAACGTCATCGAAGAAGTTGGGTGTGGGGACAATTGATGGCCAAAAGCAATGATGGCATATTCTTAAATTTTACCTGCCGATATCTCTTAAAATAAATGATATCGCTATGAGATGAGTGAGATAATTGCAAGTTATTTAAGAGTAGTTGACAAGCAAAGTGTAGCCCTTTGAATATATGTTAAGATGCTTATAAATATATTCATACAAACACCGTCTACCAGTAGTCTTCATGAATGGTGCAAAAATTATGACTATACTTATTGGTTCCTTGCGTTCTGAGTGGAATGCAAAGCTTCAGCAACACATCTTGACTGTATTTGATTCTCTGTTGTCATTTTCACCTGGCTTCATGATTGCCTACAAGTTGTCATTTCCTCTCCACAGGATTTCGTCCAAGTCACTCAAAGACCCACGTCCAACTCGTTACCTTCCATTGGAGTTACAGTTGAAGGAATGGCATAGGATATAAGTGCATAGCATTGCATGATTTTGTGCGTCGATGGCATAGCGGTTAGGACGCTCGCCGACCATGCATATGGTCCGGCCGACGCACTCCTTTACCTCGCTAAGCCAGAAATAATGCTGGTGAAGAGGAAAGGTTGGGCATGAGGCCAGCAACCCCATCCTGTAAAATAAACACTGCTGTAGAAACTTCAAGCCACTAGCTTGAAGCCCTATGTTCCACCGGGGAACGTGAAGGAAAAAAAATTGTTTAATTTTAACTTTCCTTCCCTTTTGAGATGAATTTCTCTATCATGATCCCAGAGAAGATCAGTTCCTACTGCATGATAGCCTTTGATACTGTTGACCAGATTATGATACTTACAGCTTCAGTGTGCTTTTGCTTGCCGTCAAGGTGATCGGAGTAAATTAACGAATTTCTAATTAACAATTTGAAGAATCCACTTATATACCATGTAATCCCATTTCTTCTACAATCTGAGAAGTGACGTCCACCAGTGTCACTTAAGAGATCAGTTACTCATCTATGAAACTGGCTGGCGGTTGTGCTACAGAGATATGGCGAATCAGAAGAAATTGGAATTCATAGACTGGCTATTGGATACGGTCCCATTAGCCGAATGGTCTACGAGCTCGCCTTGTAACCGAAAGATTCTGGGTTCGAACCCTGGCAGTAGGTGCATACTGATCAAGAGTTCCAAACTAGAACGAGACAGCCTTCCAGAACTCCCCGCTGGATTTACAACGGTCCTCTAACTGAAGTCAACTCGCATCAAACCTGTAGGCAATCTGAGAAGCCTTATCAACCAACCTAAAGCATCGGCGTGGACATTCAATGTCACCACGTTTACTACTTTTACCTGCATCGAAGGAGGATGCATCGGTAGACTGTCTTCTCCAACCGGTGTCATCCGTCCTCCTCAATTTCAACGGAGAATAAATCTATTATTCCAGTAGCACTGGGGTCGTTTTCTACGAGGTCCCAATCCTCCCTCTTCTTTCCCGCTTAGGATTGGTTAACAAACTCTCTTCTTGTACTAAAAACAGCTTTTATGGTGAAAGTATACGAGTAATAATAATGATGATTTCGTTGTTTTGTTTAACAACAAATTGTGAATTATTATTATCATTAAAGCGCATATGTTTGACACTTTCTAAAAAAAAATAAACAGCTGACCGAAATCGAATACACTGTATTGAAAAACAATTAAAAATATACGTCTGCTAACAGGTGCAACACTGTAGCGATGATATTGAACACGATTTTTACAAATATATATATATATATATATACAAAGATATCTGGACTAGAAGAAATTTCATATGACCGTGATACACACATAAATAATAAAGCCGTTTAGAATTTGATTTTATATAGAAGCAGTAAAAATAATAATAAGCTTAGTCGAAGCGATCTTAAATACACCTAACCTGATTCACATCATTTTAGCTGAAGTGAAAAGAATTATAAGTCAAAATGCACGCAGTACTGAGACAGAACAATGGAGATTCAAGTGTTGGTTTGTAGGGATTTGATTGGTTACAGGATTTCATCATGATGATTTAGTACTGGGGTTCTAGTGAGAAGTCGTGACCAGTAGGGTGCAGCAGGTCGGGTGTGAGGACAAATACTCGCCGAAGACATTGGCTAGGGGTCACGCAATATCGTGAATTGGCAGAAGTTAGAATTCATGGGCTGGCCATTGGATTGGGTCTCAGTGGCTTAATGGTCTACGAGATCATCAGCCTTGTGACCAGAAGGTCCTAGGTTCGAACCCCGGGGGTGCGTGCTGATGAAGAGTCCCAAACCAGGACGAAACAGATGTCCAGTACTCTCTGGTTGGTTTTCCAATGGTACTCTAACTGATATCAGCTCATGATGAAATCCTAGAACAATGGAGAACTTAGCAAAGCGTTTGAAGTGAATACAGGAGTAAGACAAGACTGCCTATTATCACGGGTGATATTCCCAATTGTGGTGGATTGGATTACGCGTCAGACTGTTTATGGGGGCGAAGAAGATAGGAATACTCTGGACCACCGATAAGAAGACTCTAGAAGATCTGAACTTCTCGGACAGACGGATTATGTCTAATTTCACACAAACTCAAAGGCTTACAGACGAAAACCAACAAACTGGCAGAAGAAGCAGAGAAGACAGGACTTCAAATGGAAATACAGAAGACGGTGGTGACGAAGAAAACCAACCAACCAACAACAACAAGCACTAATCAATATCGGTGGAATTGGAAAGGAAAGACAGATATTCATCACCCTGACATCAGTTTGCAAATCTGCTTCACTCAGTGGTAGGAACAAAATTCAGATTTTCAACACCAATGTTAAGTCAGTCAGTTCTTCTACACGGATCAGAAACTTGCCACACGCGTCACGAAAATCATTTCTAACAGGATACTGCATACTCTAATCAACAGCTGCCCACTTCGCTGGTTCCACACTGAAGATCAGATGGCTGCTTAGAAAGAATCAGCAACAAGAAACTCTGGGAACAAACCAATCAAGAACCTATCGCTCGACAAATATTCCGAAAAAAATGGAGATGAATTGGACACATGTTCAGGAGACCGTCCAGTGACATCACACGCCAGACCATCACTCGAATGGGAAACGACGAGTTGGGCGTGAATCCGACGGTGACATGGAGGAGGTTCTCTCAGGAGGAGATCAGAGACTATGGGCACTTGTGGGACCAGCTAAAGAGGACCACAGAGGAGTGGTGACGTGTTGTTGAAGCCCTATGTTCCACTCGGAACCCAAGGGAACAATAGTAATGATAATAAAGGTAGATTATTGCGTTTTCCTCGAAATCGCATTTATAAAGTTAACTTTTAAAACCATTATGTTAAAAGAATAATTGGTGAACAAAGAATACTCTTTCCGATGATGTCTACACCAGATTTTACAGCTTTACATCCATAATAACTTAAAGAATTGCTATTAACAATATTAAGAAAGTAAATGACTAGAAAAGTTGGGGAGAAAGGTTCTGTGCATGTAATCGAGAAGCCTCTCTACATGTGACAGAAATTTAAAGGCAACGTATCAAGTGAATCAGTAACCAACAAGTTATGTAACTTAGTTCAAAAAAGTCCTAATGTGGGTAAAGTGTGATTCCGAAACAACTGCAAGGTGAAGTGCCTAGGTTAAGCATCTCCTACTGTATCTACCAATTCAACTGCTCCAAAAGAGTCAGTTATGTCGCTTGTTGCTCTAGGAACTTGATTTTCGGTGCTCAGGAACACCGACTAGTATTGTAACAACAGAAGACAAGGGCCAGGCAACAGATCCTTTATTAAGGAAAATCAACACATATTTATAGATTTTAATGTACATTATTGTAGATTATTGTTAGTAGAAAATACAGTCTTTTGATTGGTTGTTTCTCACAGAAAGTTAACCTTGCATCTCTTTGTGGCTGTGTCAGATCATCCATGTATCCGCTAACTGTATCCGCCTACGCAAAGCCTTTGTTCTCATTTTCTCACCACCAATATTGGGGACATAAACATTGACGTCAATTACTGTCTACCAACTTTGGCTGGCAGCCAGCTCTCACCA